AGGACTTTCTCTATCACACCCTGGTGACAGAACATGTCGAGAAGCTCCACTGAACTACTAAATGAATCCACGATGTTTATCAAGCAACTTGCAACCTTCTCCACTACCTGCAATGTTACATCACTTTAAACATAAGCACAAGTTGCATACATACCCCTAAACAAGCTCAGTTTGAAGAATGAACAATGGTACCATCTTGTCCTCAGACTGCAGTAGATTACACAACACTGGCACAGAATCCATCACAAATTGGGAGCAATCTTTGGGGACCTTCTTACAGGCATTCGCAGCAGCTGAGACCGCAACCCTCTGAACAATACAAGTAAGAATCCAATTGGTGGATGTAGTAATTCGTCAGCAAAATATGGAAATCGCTTGCGATGCTAACCTGGATACTTGCAGAGAAGAAGTCAATGTACGTGAGCACAGCAGTGATCATGCCAGCCTGCAAGCACGGCGTCGGCTGCCTCTGCGATATCTTCTCGAATGCTTGCAAGCACTGCGCGTGACACGATCGCATACAACACGTCAGGCCAATGTGATCGTTCGATCGGGTCGTCAGAGCCGCTCGGTTACCTGCTCAGCGACATCAAGGTACTCGATGGCGAGGAGACGGGAGCAGAGCAGGGGGAGCAGGCCGTGGCGGACGACGGCGTCGGCGGCGCGCGGCATCGCGTCGCAGAGGTACGTGATGGCGCGCACGGAGAGCAGCATCACGTCGGGGCTCGCCGCCGCCGCCGGCGCGCCATCGGCGCCGCCCCCGACCAGCCGCACCAGCGCCCGCGCCGCGGCGTCCGTCGGGAAGTATCCCCCGACGTCCTCCCCGCAGAAGGAGAGCGCCTCGCAGAGCTCCGTCAGCGCCGCCACCACCGCCCCCTCCTCCGCGCCGTCCGCCGCCACCGCCGCCACCATCCGCTGGAACCTCCCTCCCCCGCCGCACCTCCTCGGGCTCCCTCCCCCATCCGACTCGCACGACGACCCCCCGTCCCCATCCCCATCATCGTCACCATCCCCTTCCCCTTCCCCATCCCCATCCCCATCCGCTTCCCCATCCCCTGCGTGTCCAGACGATGATGTGTCCATATCCGAGCAGGCGCGCTCCGCCGCCGCCGCCTCCCCCTCCGGCGCCACCGCCGCCGAGGTCGACGGCTCGGCAGTGCAGGGGCGCTTATCGGCGGGGTGCTCCTCGTCCGCCTCGCCGGGAGCGCCAGGGTCGGAGTCGGGCCGCTTCCGGCAGCGATCCATCCTCCCCCACCCCGCCCGCCGCTACTCCTCCCCCCTCGTCGCCCTCGCCCTCGCCGTCGCCGTCGCCGTGGACGAAAGCCGCAAACCACCACTCGCCCTTGGCCACTCTTGATCGATCGATCGGTCACCGATCGGAGAGAGTGGAATTCGGGGGGGGGGGGGGGGGGGGCAGCGGATATATACACGGAGGCGTGCGTGGGTGGGTTTAGTTCCTAGCGGTCTAGCCACCCCACCCCTCCTCCTCCGCGATCGGTTTTGAAAATTGCGGGGATTTCAACCGATTTTGGTGGAAATTTCCCCGTGTTTCGATTCGATTCTACTACGGGTTCGGCTCCACCGCCATACTGTGTGTTGTGTTGTGGTGTGGTTTCGCTCGCAGCGTGTGGGTGGGTGGGGTTGGGTTGTTTCGGCTTTTTGGGGCGGCGCGCGTCGACGTGTTGCGCTCGTGTTTGCTTTGGGTATGGTGTGGTTTGTGGCGGATTGGTACGCTGCGGGTGATTATGCTGATTAGGAGGGTGATTGGCCTAGGTTGTGTTTGTTTTGTTCTTTACTTCCAGCAAAAAGATGACATGCTGACTATGATAGTAGGATCTCACAAGGCATCTATTTGGTTAGTTGTGTAGGTTTTTGTGAAAAGGGAGACGGCGACAATTAATCTTTTGTCAATGAAAGGAATAATTGGGCTTCTTTGCTAAGGAAGTAATCCTTTGTTAGGGAAGGATTGAACTTCATTATTAAGGAAAAAAATCCTTTGTTACAAGTTCAGATACATGCAGTTGCCATAAAAAACGATTCATCGGGAATAGGACACATACGATTATTTGAAATTACGCGATAAATTTAATGTTCACGAATATTTATATTTATCTTTACCTACTTAAAATATTGATAATAGTACTTCTTTCCTTTGGTTGTGTTAGTTGTCATTTGTTCTCCAATGATCTGGTTTAGTTTCCTATTTAGATATATTCATTGTTTGACTCTACGAAAAGTTTTTCCTCTTTCCTTGAGCTGATTTAGGAGGGTGCCTTTGGTTGGTTTTTTGACCCTGCTTTTGGCTTTAAAAGGGCTCAAAAGCCATAGCTGCATCTACCCAAAAGCTGCTTTTGCTCTAGTACAAATTGAAAGCACCTCCACCCCTTACTTTCAGCTGCTTTTGGGTCAAATATTTATCCGCCTGCCACTGGTTACGTGGAGAAAATAACGTTTAGCCTCGTTCTATTCCGCATCGCGTCCGCTCTGTCGCCCCCTTCGGCATCGCGTCCGCTGCCACTCGCTACCCGTCGTCGAGGTCCTCCAGACCTGCCCGAGCCAGCTACCGGACCTTCGTTGCCCCAACTCCGGCGAGTCCAGGACCATTGCGGCGCGAGATTCTTCACCTCCCCTCCCCGTGGCGGCGTGGCTCCCCCATCCCCTTGGTCCCATGGCCGGTGACGGGGCGGGAGGGCGTGGGACCAGGAGCGCGATCTCCACCGCCCATCTCTGCGCCCCTCCTCCATTGCTGGCTGCAAGCGGGAGCTCCCGAGCGCCTGAGCGGAGGAATAGGGTCCCCGACAGAGGAACAGCCGAGACCAAGCAGGATTCGTGTCCCGCGGTCAAGGGCGCGGGTGGGATTCTTCCTCGACGGCCGCGGGCGCGGACGCAGCTCTTGCCCCGGTGGCTGATAGCCAAGGCCGCGTGTGGGATTCGTCCCCGGGTGGCCATGGCAACCTCGCGTCCATGGTGCTTGCCTCCTGTTCCCTCGTCCCGTGCTGCCTTCATGGCCGGCCACGCGAGCCTAGGATGTCCTGCAACTGGCTGGCGAGCCCAAGCCGGCGTGCCCCGATAGTGAGTCCCCATGCGAACCGTGTGAGGAAGAAGATGAATGCAGTGAGGCTGACAGGCAGGGTCCAGCCGTAAGTGAGAGAAGTATTTTCCAAAAGCCACAGTTGATCAACCAAACGGGCTTTTGTCTTCCTCGTAGCTGCTTTTCCAAAGCTACTTTTGCAAAAGCCAAAGCCCACGTCTGCTTTTCCATAAGCTACTGCCCAACCAAACACACCCTTACTCCTTCCGCGCACGGAATATGGAGGAGTAGGCGTGCGCGGAAGGAGCAAGGGTGTGTTTGCTACAATTCTTGGGTTTTTTGGTCTTTTTTTAATCTTTCATCCCCCACGTGATCAACACAAACGAAACACGCGATTATAGTGAGATTAATTAAGTATTAGCCTAAAAAACTTGAAAATTGAATTAGTATGATTTTTTAAAGCAACTTTCATATAGAAAACTTTTGTAAAAAAATACACCGTTTAAGAGTTTGAAAAGCGTACGTGCGGAAAACGAGGGAAGTGAGTTGGGAAAGAGGGGAAAAGAACACAACCCTAGTGTGCCTCCTATTCTCCATCCTCCTTCCTCTATACCCCTCCTTGTCCGCCCCCTTATCCCCACATGTACAAATAATTGAAGTATGCACGATTATTTAAAAAATATACGGTCAGTTTTGACGTTCACAACATGCTGTCTTTATCGTTATATAGTTTAAAATTTAATAACATTTATGTCTTTTTTGATTTGTATATGTTATCTTTCGTTATCCATTAGTTAAAGTTTTGTTTCCTATTCGACTTTATTCATCGTTGTTGTTTCATATTTCCTTAAAACGATTTCATCCTCTTGCATGCCTGATTTTTAGTACCCAATTATTTTACTTCTTAGTTATCGCCTTTTTCTCGTTCATTATACTCGAGCATAGTCAACAGCAATCTTACATGCCCCATCTTCTCCACCTCCCCTCCCCGAACTCCTCCTTGTCCGCTCCCTTTTCTTCCTCTCCTAGATGAGGAGCATCAATGTTATATATGTTGTACTTGTTAGCACACCTTTTACCGTCATGATATGGGCTATTTTAGTCGGACAAATCGTTGAAATTTAAAACCCATATTGACAGTATATTTAAAAAAGTATAAATGATTAAAATATAATTTTAAACAATCCATCAATCATTTTCTTTACAATCTCTACAGTTAGATAGCATAGAGACATGGACTAGTTGTAAAAAAGGAGGAAAAAAACATTTTGAGCCAAGTCCATGCATCTCTCTTGGTCTTGGAGCACATGAACAGCTGATTATTTTTTTATCTGTGTGTTAGCATAGATTGTGTTCGAATGAAAAAAACAAAAAAGACAGGTAAAGCGAGATGAGCCACTAATTATTTTAAACCTAGAAATAAATTAATATATTTTTTCTATAACTTTTTTTTAAAAACATACCGTTTAGAGCACCCGTAATGGTAAAGTAATGTGCCATATATAAAACATTTACATCTCAGCAATAGACTACATTAATAGTAAACCACTTTAATGGTATATCTACATGGGTATCTATAGCTCTCTAATCTATTGCCTCGTTTTTCTCTATAGACTATCTCCAGGTTAGTAGATAGCTTTGCTCTCTCTCTTCATTTAATCTCTTCCAAATAGAAAAATATGCTGACATAGATCTTTTGTAGAGAGTCTATAGATAATCATTGCGGGTGCCCTTATCAGTTTGGAAATTGTGTGCGTGTAAAACGAGAGAAAATTCATCTCTTTCTTGCTCAGTACAACGCAGCCTCAAGTAGGAAGGAAAAAAACCATCACGATTTACGAAATACAGTATTGAAGACCTGCTGTGAATTGTGAATTTGTGATTGGGCTCGAACGCGGGCCGGAGAGGGGAGAGCTCCTCGCCGCTGACATGTGGGCCATAGTAAAAAGTGGGACCCACATGTCAGGTCTGCTTCCGCCCGCTGAGCTTCACGCCGTCCTCGCTCGCCGCGCTAAAAATTTCGCTCCGCCCGCCCCCCAACTCTCCTCTCCCGCCGCCGCCGCCGCTGCCGCGCAACTCGCCGGAGAGAGAAGGGAGCGGCCCATTTCTCAGGCGAACATGTACGACGATGGTCCTCGCAAGGGAAAACCCGGCGGCCTCTCCATGGACGCCGCCACCGCCGCGGGGCTCGCGGCGGTCTGGCCGGAGTACTTCCCGGAGGAGAGCGAGTTCGCCGCGGACGGCCGCAGCGCGCGCCTCGCCGCCGACCTGGTCGACCTCTTCTCCTCCCCCGACGCGAGCGACCTCCTCTCGCGAGTAAGCGGTGGCTCCCCTCCCCCATTTCATTCCTCTGCGGCGTTGCCCTTCGAGCTCTCCTCACGGCGGACCGGCGGTGCCCATGCTAGGGTTCCGCGCTTGTGGTATGGTCCGATTGTTGAGATCGGTTCATGCGTGATCGGTGTTACAACTTAGAATATATCAGTGGTGGCATTTCTCGATAATGTCTACGATTTTAGCGGATGGACGCTCCAATCGTTAATTGAAATGTTCTGGAAATCGCAACTAAAGTGAGTACTGTGAGCAATTCATAAATGTTTTTCTAAGGAATCTTCGCAAGTGTTTACTTTGTCTTAAACAAGAGCAAGTGTTTAAGCTTGTAAAGGTTCCTGTTATAGTGTTATTACCTATTTAATTTAGCTCGTTCAGGGAGCTTGCAACTCGATGTTAATGGGCGTTTAGTTTCTACTCTCTTAATGCCTTAATTGCGAATGCATGAATTTCATATGAATTAGGAAACAATTCAATCATTGCAAGAATCTTAAAATGCGAATTTGTAATTTACTCTCTTTGGTTAATGTGGTTACTAGTAGTTACCACTTACAACTTCATGGCTTCATGCACAGGTCGAAGATGATGGTGATATCCTCTCCCTTCCAGTTGATTTCCAGCAGCTATCGAATTTGACCTGGATTACTGAAGCTCTCCAGGAAAATCCAAAAGAAGCCTTGCTTTCCATGGGAGCTGCAGTTCATCTGGTTGATGTTTCTATTCATGTTTTCCTAGAATTAATGAGCCTGTTACTTTTGTAGTGCTTTCATGTTTGGTCCACTATACCTGATATGTCAGTTCTTGATATTTTCTTCAGATTGTGTGTGCTAGCAGGGACTTGCAGTTGGGCGACATCAACAAAATCAATATCAGGCTTTACAACCACACCAAGACTATTGCCTTGAAGAATTTAAAAGCGGCGTATATTAGTAAATGTCATTCTGCCTTTTATCATCGCGTGCTAAAGTTTGTGCACATATAAATCAAAGTACTAATTTGTAGATTCACTTGGCAGAGAAACTTGTGACAGTGCGTGGAACAGTCTTAAAAGTAAGTACGGTGAAGCCTCTAGTGCTGCAGCTGAATTTCCAATGCATGAAATGCGCTACAAAATTCCCTCGTGTGTTCTGTGATGGGAAGTTTTCACCTCCAGTATCGTGCAGTATTCAGGGATGCAAGAGCAGAACATTCATACCAATGAGATCTACTGCAAAGTTGATGGATTTTCAGAAAATAAGGCAAGTGATAAATAAACTACTACATTATCCTTTATTTATGGTACTAAAGCTTTTCTCATATTGTTTCCAAATCAGGATACAAGAGCTTGCTAGTGGTGAAAGCCATGAAGAAGGCAGAGTGCCACGAACTATAGAGTGTGAGCTTACAGAGGATCTTGTAGATTGTTGCATCCCTGGAGAGACTGTAACAGTTACTGGAATCGTCAAAGTACTGAACAACTACATGGATGTTGGAGGAGGTACAATTTTTGAGAAATTAATATTTCTTTGCATTACTTCTTTTTCTAAACCTTGTGGATTTACTGGCTCACACACAGGCTTCAAATTTTGCGTTTTCATTGGCAATCATTGGCAAAAAATGTTTATCTATAAATGCCTCAGATTTGTTCACAACACCTATAGAGGCACATATGCTGTCAGCATCTTGTTTTATTTGATCATTAATCTGATTGGATGTTAATGTTCTGATTAGAGAGCCTTGGCCATCTACCATGTGACATTACGATTTTTTTTTTCTAGATGGAGCAGTTGAAAAGAAAATAGCATTTGAGCAAAGCAAGAAAATAGCTTTCTATTTTTTTGTTTCTTCCAGACCATATATCCTAAATCTGATATATAGAAATCAGAATCACCAGATCAACTCATGGACTACTGAGCATAAACAGTTCATTAGAAGCATTATTATAGTCCATGTTAACTATAGGGAAACCTATCTAATGCTGTATTTGGCAGCATGAGGGTATCTATTTTACCTCTCCCCCACTTTACATTCTTAGAACTTGCAAGATCATTTGGTCTTTGTTAGATATATGCATGCTTTCTATGAGCTCCTTGAATTTAAGAATCAAGAAATTATTTATAGGATAATGGAGAACAAATTAGTTATGATGTACAGCCTTACTATTGTTTGACCCTTACCCGCTGATGCCATATATGCAGATAAACTCTTATTTGATCTGAGCTTCCCCCCTTCTAATTTCTTAATTTTACACAATATTTCATTTGTATCTTCAGGGAAATCCAAAAGCAGGAACCAAGGTTTATACTACCTGTACCTGGAAGCAATTTCAGTAAGAAACTCAAAGGTCCATGCTGCTTCAGGAAATTCAGATGCTGCTAGTGGATCTTTCGGTTTTCAAGCTTTTACTGAAAAGGATCTTGAATTCATCTCCAAATTTAAGGAAGAACACGGTGCTGATGTTTTTCGTCAAATTCTTCACTCCTTTTGCCCCTCTATCTATGGACATGAACTTGTAAAAGGTATTGGTATTATACTTATCTTCCATCTACTATTTAATGTGGTTAAAGATTTAAATTTAATTCACTCTGAGCTGACCCAATAACGGAATGAAATATTTTGGTGAAACCTACCGCTCCCCTTAATTTCTGTTTACACGAAATGAGATAACAATTCCTTTTTTTCTTTTTATTCAATTAGTTCTGGACCGCTGCAGCATTTTCTGCCCAAATGATCTTCTATAGGAACTCTCTTGTGCTGCATGAAAAAAATGAGAATGTATCTCCCAAGCTCCTAAACTGTGATTTTTGCAAAAACTTTCTATATATAAATTGCTTAGAATACTTTTCAAAAACAACTTTTGCACTTTGTAATAATTAATTCATTCGTTTGTACCCTTGAATATTATCATAAAATCAGATAATCTATCATCTATTCATCTATTCAGAACAATCAAACTGGGGGTGGTGAAATTGACTAAGCTACTGGTAGTTCCCGTTCTCTGAGATATGTGTGTTCTCCTTTTCAACTAGAGCATACAGCACCCATTCTACTACACTACTGTTTACAAACATGCCAGCCCTTCTTGGTCCTTTTCCTGCTTTGCATTTTATTGCTAGATACAACTAAATGAATATTTCCAATTTTTCAGCTGGTATCACCCTTGCGCTTTTCGGTGGTGTGCAGAAGCACTCCATTGATCAAAACAAGGTCCCAGTGAGAGGAGACATTCATGCTGTTGTTGTTGGTAATCCTTCACTTATAGAGGGTCTAAGCTTCTTGGTAAGAATTTTCTTAGCATTTCTCACAGTGCAATTAAAACTCTTGCTCAATGCAATTCTAGGTGATCCTGGACTAGGCAAGAGTCAACTGCTACAGGCTGCAGCAGCTGTTTCTCCACGGGGTATATATGTTTGTGGGAATACAACAACAAATGCTGGTCTAACTGTTGCTGTGGTTAAAGATTCTATGTCAAATGATTATGCATTTGAGGCTGGTAAGCATATGAGATTGTCCTTTGTCCCTTCCCTAGACTGTTGTTTAAGTTCTGTTACCTAACTGGCTGTCTGTCCTGGTGGGTTTTTGTCTTAAAACCTGTGAGTGGAACAAAATAAGTACTCCCGTTGTTCCAAAATATAAGGATTTCTAGAACTCAAAACATTGTACTCCCTCCGTCCCATAATATAAGGGATGGTATGTCCAGATTCATCGTATTAGGATGTGTCACATCCACCCAAAATCCTTTATATTACGGGACGGAGGGAGTACCAGATATAAGCATTTCTGGGCACTGATTCCAACGCACAGAAATCCATATATTTTCAGCCAATCAGTTGTTTCATGTTCGAGAGGGGAATCTAAGCAATTCAAAATTTGACAACTGAGATGACTAAAAGGGAATCTTTTCCCTTAACTTCATTATTTGCTAAAAAAAACCTAGAAATGCTTATATTCTGGAACGGAGGGAGTAGGATGCAAGTGGGTCTGGTAGTATTTTTTTTCTTGACTAATTTAATGGCACATACATAAAGTGGCCTATCAAATAATTTTGACCCTTTGGTTTACAGGTGCCATGGTCCTTGCTGACCGTGGAATATGCTGTATCGATGAGTTCGATAAAATGTCAGCAGAGCATCAGGTTTTAACCTTGTATAAGCTTCACTCTGAAATGTTAATTAGAAAGCCCTAACCTGCCACATCATGTTTCTAATGAATTTGAGTTCATAGGCTTTACTGGAAGCCATGGAGCAGCAATGTGTATCTGTGGCAAAGGCTGGCCTTGTGGCAAGTTTATCAGCCCGTACTTCTGTGCTAGCGGCTGCTAATCCTGTTGGTGGTCATTACGAGTGGGTCCTTGTGTACTGCCTGTCATTCTTGATCCATCATTTCCGTTCATATTTTCCTTTTCAATTGATATTGATTATAGTTTGATTGTGGACCATCCAGTCCATTCACACATAGCCAGAGATAATTAAGCACCAATGCATTCAGCAAGGTGACCGGGAGGAATAGAGATGGGTCCATAAAGTTAGCAAGAAATAGCAGCATACGGATTGAGTCCAGTTATTTTGATAGTCAGCACAAGATCTTGATAGAGTTTGTTTCGTATGACTTCATATTCATATAAAGGGTTACATCGTGCATCCCTGTGATGTAAGCTAGTACATCGGGTGTTAAACACTTCAGAAAAGAGAGTGAAGGGCTGAAGGCGACGGTTTGGATGGAGGCCGCTTGCTTGGGTTGATAGGAACTAAACTACTTTCAACGTGAGCCATGGGTCATGGCAGATTTCTTGTACTGCTAGTATGTTCAATTGCTGTAGTATAGTTGGGAAGTGTTGGCTACTGGTGTTTTTGCTGCAAGTGAATAAGACAAACACATAGTATAAAAAACCGGACCGGGGGTCGACCCGCTCTGGCCGTCGGTTCACCGGTCGAACCGCCGGTTTATTTATTTATTAATATTATATTTGATTTGCATTAATTTAATATAGAACCATCACAAATTGGTGGAAATTTGCATAAATAAACCAGTATATCTATTATTACATAGTCACAACATAAAAAAATAAATGTGGTGTGGTAACATAATAAATTCATCATGTCATATTGCCATAGGAAAAATAAAAACTGGTTCGATACTTAAAAACCCGCCACCGGTTCAAGGAAAAACCGCCCGGTTCACCGGTTTTTTACCGGTTCGATTGCATGGGTGGTCTTTTAGCAGAACCGAACCACCAAGGTGGCCGGTTTCGGTTTTTTCTGGTTCAACCGCCGGTCCGATCCAGTTTTTTGTACTATGGACAAACCTGCAAGTAATACCATTCTCCATTCATCTCAAATTATTTAGAGTACATTTTGCAAAGCTAACATTTATGTGAAACTATCATAGCCCTACGTATTTAAGTTTGAGTTTTTCTTTTTTGGCATAACTACATATTTAGGAGCAAAAATATTCACAAACCTATGAAACATTGTATCATAACCTTGCTTACAACTCGGGTTCACTCTTCAGTGACGAAAGCTAAATATGTCCTGTTACCTAGGGTGGATGGGGGCACATCATATTAGCCACCTGGAATAGCTTGTTGGTTGGGGTGCGTATCAGCACTAAGGGCATTATTTGAGGAGGTAAAGGAGTCGATGGGAGGGAAATGATGCGTGGATGCTCATGATCTTGAATCTTTAATTGTCAGCGGCGCAGAGCTGCAGCAGAAGTCACAGTTTCTTGCGAAAGCAGTTTTGTATGATTGTTCTGGATTCTAGAATGCTAAGGCTCTAATTTGATGGAGTTGTAGTTCTTTGAGAATTTTTTGCTTCTAAATATGTTGGTTGGTGACGTGACATTCAAACTTGTTTGTTGTGATGGTTTTTGTGCAAAATTTGTAATTATGCAGAAAATATAAATTATTTATGGTGTCATGTCTTCATTTTATTGATGCACCCATACTATTTGTTTGTTCGATATGATATTTTGTGTGTTTTCAATTGAGATGCTTCCCTGCTAGATATTAAATTTGCGTGTTACTGCCAACTTAACAGTTAAGTACCTTTTTGTAGCCGAGCAAAAACAGTGAATGAGAATTTAAAGATGAGTGCCGCCCTCCTCTCTCGGTTTGACTTGGTTTTCATTTTACTTGACAAGCCAGATGAATTGCTGGATAAGAGAGTATCAGATCACATAATTGCAGTAAGTGAATGTTAACCATGTTTCCTGTTCTCATCTGTTAAGTATATATGACTGATATGGGATATGCTCACATGATGCAATATATCTGTATTTAGCAAGAAAGGATATGTATTTAGGGAAACATGCATAGTTAAATAACTAAACAATTTTACTATTTCCGATAAGCAGCTCCACTCCAATGATGGAGGCCCTTTCACAGCCAACAAGAGGATAAGAACAGGTATTTTCTTGGTTTATTCAAAACTGATTTATAGTGCCTTCTTTTCGGTTGCCAATCATTGTTGGTTTTCATAACTAAAAACTTATCCATCATTGTTGATTTGGGCCTTCTTTCAGTGCCTCAATTTAATGCCAGTACAGAGTTTGGTGTCGGTAGAACTTCATTAGCTTCAAGGCTGAGATTGCACCCTGAGAAAGACAAGGATTTCTGTCCATTACCTGGACCATTACTTCGCAAGTATATATCTTATGCAAGAAGCCATGTTAACCCCCGAATCTCGTAAGTTCCTCTTTCACTCATAAAATGTCATAAATGCAAACTGTTGGCTATCCCTATCCTTTTTGCCTGTAGTGCTTCCCCTAACCTTACTATTTTTCCTCTTTAAGCATGCCGTCGCCAGCAGCTGACAGTCTGCAAAAGTTCTATTTGGATTTGAGAAAACAAAGTGATTCTGCTGATGGTACGCCCATCACAGCCCGGCAACTGGAAAGCCTTGTAAGGTTGGCAGAAGCTCGTGCGCGGGTGGATCTAAGAGAAGAAGTGACTTTAGAAGATGCTAAGGTGAAATAACTTAAATACTTGAGTGCTGAAAAGGTTGCTAAGTCTCTAATCTCTGTTGCTGGGTAAACCTGACTTCTTATATTATTAAATCAAACTTAAAAAACAACAAGTTGTGCCATTTCACCCACACTTGTGCAAATTATGTTCACATTGCAGATCTTTTTTGTTTGTTTGTTTGTTTCCTAATTCTTCCTACTATAGTTCTAAATTTGAAAATCTCACATTTGCACCACCTGATTAGTAACTTCTTCCAGCCAAAGGCAGATAGAAATCCAGTGATAACACAATTGAACAACTCAGCAGCATTAAAGCTGAATGATATTTTTAAATTGTTCATTTTTTTTACATGACAGGAGGTCATAGACATAATGACGGAATCCTTATATGACAAGTGTGTTGATGAGCACGGTGTTGTGGACTTTGCTCGAAGTGGTGGGATGAGCAATCAAAAGCAATCAAAGAAATTTCTCCGCGCCTTAAACGAGCAGTGTGATTTGCAGAAAAAGGATTGCTTTTCAATGAATGTAAGTGTCATGGCAATTATGCTTCAAATGTCTTTTTTGCTGAAGATTTCTTGTTTCAGTTGTCGAATTATACAACATCACACCAGTCAAATCAATTAAAATGGAAAAATGGACACAATTCTTATTCTGCTCTAATTGAAGAATATTTTCCTTTGCTACTTTTTGAGCATTTTTGTTCTTTTGGTGTGTGGTTTGTCCAGTGAAAGAAGATATGCAGCTTTCTTGATTTGTTTACAGTATTTAGTCACAAACAAAGCATTGTAATTAGTAGGTGCCTTTTTTTTTTTAATCTTTGATCGTTCCATCATGTTCTATCCCTTTCCTATTGCCAGGAGATGTACAACTTAGCTGATCGTATCAGCTTGCAAGTTGCAAATTTAGATGCTATTGTGGAAAGTTTGAACAATGCTGGCTATATCACTAAAAAGGGATCATCAATGTATCAGGTATCGTCTTGTTTTCAATAAGCTCTAGCATTACTCTTGCTGTCAGAACAATACTAGCTGGCCTCCTGGCATCATGCTGATTATCGTTTTGACTTGTAGAATCCGTGGTAACCCTCACGGAAAACGTGACATATGCTCTTTCCTCTTTTTTTTTTTTTTTCTGTTAACAGGTAGTGACTTCGTCATACCAGGGGAGCCAAGCTACATGGTCAAGACGATGAGTTTTGTTGCATCCTAGATGATCAGTAAGTTTGTTGGCGAGGACTGTGCTGGTTCTGTTATTAGTCGATATTATACTACGGGTGCAATCCTATGCCTCCTTGTTAACGCTGGGATTATTCCCAGTTACTCTGAATCAACATGATTGACTGATAGCTTCCCTTTGCTTGCTGAACCAGCTGATCCAGGAGGTTAGTGTCTGATTCTATTCCGAGAGCCATAGAACGGGGTGATGCTGCTTCTTAAGGCTGCAAGGTGATTAAAGATGTCTGGCTGCCCACTCACTGTAATGTGCAAAACAGCAATTTTGTATAGAACTTCATATTTGCTAATCATCCATATTGTTATAACCTGTCGCCCAGATTTGTCAGTTTTAGGTGATGCTAATATTTTCGTTCTGATAGTATATGGTAGTATAATTGGGTAAGCAATGTTTGAGCTGCGGTGGCTTACCCGTCGCGGCGGACCGGTCTATGCCTCGATCGCCGGTGGCGGGGGATTGGGCTGCGCGTGGAGGGAGCGGTACGTGGTAATGGCCCATATGTAAGTGGCACAACTGTAAACTGCACAAACTCAGGGGATCAATTTCCGTAGGTGGGTGGAGCACCCGCGCGGCGCGGCGATATGGGCGGCGCGGTGCCCGCAACGGCGGCTGCGTGTGACCTGTCGTAGCTGTGCGCCGCAGCAAAAGCCGATGGCGATGATCTCTAGCAGCCGCGGCGACGACGGCTCGGCTCGGATGACACCGGCCCACGGGCTGCGCTTGAGGGGGGAAGAGAGAAAAAGGTCCATTATCCATCGCAGCAGGCCATAATATGAGGCCTCATCTAGTTGGGCCGACGACGGCAAGGGGATGCAAGGCCTACGACGCGCGCGGCGCCGGCGGTCAGCACAGCCATGGGCCGCCGTCCAATCAAGCCCTAAACCTGGAAATTCTGAGAGATATTTAACTATTTACCACTCTTATGATAATTAAGAGTTTATGACTGGATTTACATGTCATACACGTGACTCAGTGAGTGGCAAATAATTAAACTTGACATCTTAAAAGTGGCAAATAGTTAAATGTCCCAAATTCTAAAGCTCACAGGTAGGCACCAGAAAGGAAAAAGAACGGTTGGAAAAATAGAGTTTCATAAATAAATTGCCAACCACAAAGACAAGTATATTACGGTCATGTTTACGTTATAAACTAATATAATTTGTAATTATTAATATAAATTAAAAGTAGTAAGTAACTAATTTAAATATTTCATAATGATCTTATAGCATCAATGGCTGACAACACATATAAGGGTCGTTATGGTTAATTTCTTTTTATTCCAATGGGTTACGCTTATTTCTTTAAAAAATATTAATGAAAAAAGTACTATTTCCGTTCCATTTCTGAAAACATGAAATCAAAACGTTAAGTACAAAACGGAAACGATAGCCGGTACAGTCAAGAAGTCCCGTACCGTTTTAACCCTACTCATCGGACACTGACTGAGATTAAGTCCGACGACCACCACGTGCACAGCGCCTAATAAAACCATTTGATCGAGGAAAGCGTGTGATGACTTGGAACGGACTCAACGGAGAGACGATGGATGCAAGTCAATTTGGGGAAACGGAGTTATATAACGAATGCCGTGCTTAATTAGTTCGGCTTAATTTGCACGAGAAAGCGGCTAAGCTCAAGTGTTTCGGTTAGCTAGCTGTATCGCATGCCCTACGAGAAATTTAATTGCTTCTCGGACTTTTCAAGGGGAGCAACAAGACACGGTCATTTTTTTTTAGTTCAGTTGGCATATCACGTGCTTCATTGCCCATTTTTGGTTGATGGTTTCCCTTCTCGACGAAGCAGATTATAGGTGTAATGGTTCATAATCTCTGGCTGAAAACCGCCAATTATCGGTCCTATCGGTCCGATATTAGAGAGTGGTCCCAAATTATTATTTTTTGTAGGGGATATCCCAAATTATTTTTGATCAAATTTGATATAGTGTGCGTTCTTTTCTACATTTTCATTTATGAACCTTGTAGCATTTTCAACAAAATTTTGACGATTTCATTTATTTGAAACAGAAAATATTTATGAATTTTCAACTTTCAACCGAGATTCAAGTTTGAAATTCTGAGCAATTCGTCTGAATTCTGGGGGACGAAAATCAACTAAATTATTGGTGACTTTTGGACTATCGGAAGTGGTCAAAACTTGAGCCGAAAACGATACTGTAGTGTTTACCTGTTCAATATTTTACCATAACTGAGCTTGCCTAGCTTGTATGGTAAAACCTGCAAAGGAAAGTTCATTTTTTTTTCAGCGCAGACAATTGACAGATTACCCTGGCCTTGCTGTGTTGCACTTATAATGCAGCTACAGGTAAGGTTCAGAAAATCCATGAAATAAAACTTGACCAGAAATTTCAATTCCACAACATCAAAAAGCAGAGTTCTAACACAGTTTACACACAAATGCTTAACTGAATTGACAAGTAGAAAACCAAACATAGTACATGGGAGGTAGTACACAAGGAAGGAATGACCAGGCCTAATACTTGCTGATCCATCCAACAACTTATACAATCCATTATCTAAGAAAACAACTTATACAATCAAACATAAACACCAAAAGACACCAAGCCAAGAACTAGAAGACAACATTAACAACCTTAACAAGCAAGTAAGCTACAGGAGGTTCTTACTTAAAAACCTTAACAACCTCCTGAACCTGAAAGGCTAAGACGACTTAACCACACGAAATCAACGAGAAGTATGGATGGATTAGTGCTTACTCTAATATGGCAGCTAATCCAACCAAGACAGGGGCGAGAGGAAGAGATCAACAAGAGATTTTAACTGATTATAAGAGCTCTTCGTAATTATTTTAACTTTGCTCCTGAAAAATTCTGCTGCGAGCATAAAAGGAGCCCATAGTAGCAGCAGAAATTGGAGGAGCGGATGGCTTCAGCTTCTAGTTCAGTTGTCGGTGTCGTCGGAGACAGGAACGCCGCCGCCGCCGTTCCTGTCGTTGCGGCCGCGGCCGGCGATGACGCCGGAGAACGCGGCGACGATGTCCTTGATGATCTGCTCCTTGATCTGCCCCCTGCGCGGAGGCGGGAGCAGCGCCGCCCGCGCCGCCCTGCCGCCGCCGCCGCCGCCGGCGCGGTCTCCCGCCGCGGGAGGCATGGCCGGAGCCGGAGCCTGAGCCGGGTAGCTCTCGGTGGCCATCGTCGCCGGCGATCTGGTCGGTGGTCGGAGATCGGGAGGGGGGGGGGAGGGGGGGGGGGAGAGGGAACAGCTGCGAATGAACGACTGTTTCGCTCGGCGACGGCGAGGCGGGACGGCGCCATTAAATAAGCAGTAAGCTCGGGTCGAGCCCGATTGGTGGGCCCCAAAGTGCGCGTGGGGCCCAAAAAGTGCCCAGTGGGCCCCACTTCTGGGCCGATCGCGGGCTGCGACTTTAGGGAGAACAGCCACGTGTGGATGACAAGTGGGGAGGTCTGGATCGTCCGGGCCCACTGTCAGTGACACAGATGTTCAAACTTGGTCGGTTCGTGGGTCCCACCTCGCCGCAATTTTTCCACGTAGTAGTCTGTTCCACGCAATCACGGGGCTTTGGCTTTGGCTTGCTCTGCCTTGGATTGCAGCTAGTGGTTTGTGATGGGAACCTCTCCATTTAGCCGCGCTAATCATGACCAAAAACGCAATTAGAAAAGAGAGAAGACAGTGCACGCCTAGAAGCATTATAGTGCCTACTCCTTCTATCTTAAAAAATACTACTAACAATTACTAATATATTGTTATAAATCTAAATAGATTTTCTATTACTTAAAACTAATACTAGTACTAAGTCATACTTCCTCCTCCGTTTCATATTATAAGTCTTTCTAGTATTGTCTACATTCATATATATAATAATCTAGACATATATGTTTAGATTTATTAACATCTATATAAATATGGACAATGTTAGAAAGTTCTTTAACCTGAAATGGAGGAAGTATGTTGATGTATTTTGGAACGATGAAAATAGTTTATTCGGTCAGTGAGCCGGTGGTGGTTCAGTGATCAGTATCAACAAGGTTGCTGCGCTTTCGCTTGCTTTATACTACCACAAAATCACCAATGCTTAGGCGCCGCGATGTGGATAAGCATAATAAGCCATAAGGACACGCCAGGTCAACAGCAAGTGGTGCACTGGGAGAGAAGATGCTTTCACATTAGAAGGTACTACTACTTGTGCATAATCCGATTTGTCTGAACTTTCATGCAGCTTGTTCTGCTTGTGTGTGTTTCCTTGTTAGCGAAGAAACTTGAGAAGTTTCAAAAGAAAAAGAGAAGAAACTTGTGAGAGGTAATCCTGGCCGTTGGAGCATCATCATCATGCATGTTTGCGATGGAATGTTCGCGTTACCTCATCAGGAGCACGTCAGCGCGAGCGTTCGCAATCGCGGTTTTTTTATTTTTATTTTTTTGGTGCGAACTCGCAATCACAGGTGTGCGTTGGCAGCTCGGGTTAAGTGGGGTTTGTTCGAACGGAGGGAAGGCGTGAAAATTGCGGTTTGGGCTCGGCTTCCCGAAATCAGATTCTTGCAGTCTTTGAAATAAGTTCACCGGAGGTCCCTCAACTTAACAGCGAGAATTCTTGAGATCCCTTAACCACATAACCAGAAATGTGTACCCCTAAACTCACACAAACCGTTCAAAGGAGGTCCCATGACAGTATATGTGGGTGGTTTTGCTGACGTGGCATCCTAGTCAGCATTTTTTTTAAAAAAGTATGTGGGCCCACATGTCAGTTACACATATTTTCTTTTCTTTTCTTTTCTTCTCCTCCTCTTCTCTTTTCTCCCTTCTCTTTCTCTTCTTCTTCTTCTTCTTCTTCTTCTTCTTCTTCTTCTTCTTCTTCTTCTTCTTCTTCTTCAGTAAGTGAGGCTGGTGGGCGACGGGTGGAGCGGCGATGGGCGGGCGGAGCGGCGACGACAGGTCCGTGCGGCAGCCGAGTAGCGGCAGGCGAGCGCGGCCTGCAGGCGAGCGGACGAGCATGGCGGCAGGCAGAGCGGATGGCGTCCCATGCCCCATGGCGTGGCGGCGGAGATATCGGCCGATCCGGAGTCCAGGAGCACGGAGAGTGTGTAGGACTCGTCGACGGCGGGGCCGAGCGAGACGTTGGGACCGTCGGAGACGGAGAGCGCGAGGATGCAGACGTGGATGCGGACGGGGATGCGGGAGAGGGTGCAGTTGGTGGGGGGAACCAGCAGCGAGAACGACGTGCTCGTTTGCTTTGTCCGCTCTGCGCGCTACTCCCGCCGCCGCCGCCGATGCGGCTGGCAGAGTAGGCTAGCGGAGCTCGCCCACCGCCGCCACGCTCCTCCTTCGGCCACCTCCGCCGTTGCGGCCCCCTTCTCTGCCCGCTTTGCTCGTTCGCTCGCCCACCGCCGTGCTCGCCCGCCGTCCGCTTTGCCCGCAGCCCGCCGTGCTTGCCTTCCGCTCGCCCGCCGCTGCTCATTGCCGCTCTGCCCGCATCCCGGCTCCGCTCCGCCCGCCGCCGCCCATCGCCACTCCGCCCGCCTCCGTTCTGCCTACAGGCCGCGCTTGCCTGCTGCCGCGCTCGCCTGCCACCCGCCCATCGCGGCTCTGCCCGCCGCCTGCGCTCGCCTGCCGCCGCCCGCCGCCGCTCGCCTGCCGCGCGGACCCACCGCCGCGCTCGCCTGCCGCCCGTCCATCGCCGCTTCGCCCACCGGCCGCCAGCCTCACCCACTGAAGAAGAGAAAGAGAAGAGATAAAATAGAAGAGGAGGAGAAGAAACGAAAAGAAAAAAAAGATGTGCAACTGATATGTGGGCCTCACGTACTTTTTTTAATTTTTCTTGCTGACTAGGATGCCACGTTAGCGAAACCACCCTCATATACTGCCATGGAACCTTCTTTGAACGGTTTATGTAAGTTTAGGGGTACACATTTCTGGTTTTGTGGTTAAGTGACCTTAAAAAATCTCGCTGTTAAGTTGAGGGACCTCCGGTGAACTTATTCCACAGTCTTTCTCTTGTTTTTGCCGGCTGTTTTTCCGAATATTCAGTTCCTCCTTTAAATAAGACCAAAGTACCCTATCTCACCCACTCAAGCATCATTTTTTTTAAGCACCATTCTACTTTCCATACTTCTAAAAATAAAATTACATAGAACTGTCTCCCATTTGAAACGGGATACCTTAATAACCATATATATGAACATCTTGTCCACACCATTACATCACCTATTTGATGTTATTCTTATCCTTCCTCTCCCCCCCTCTCTCTCTCTTGTCCTCATGGCTCAACAGCCGAGAGCGCCATGCAACCATCGGTTCGTGTGATCAATGATGATTAGCTCCGTGTTGCCATGGAAGGCCGACTCCACTCAAGGTGGAGGGATTGCGGGGCTGATTTTTGAGGCTTCTCTAGTTCGCAGTAGTTTTGGTTGCCAACTGTGATTCACGGCAAGCTTCTTCTATTGAGCATCTTTCCCATCCTTGAGAAGGTACCATGAGGTACAAGGTACCAATCTAATTTAACCGTTGATTTAACAGGGGTATGATTGGGGGCTAAAAAAAATTAGGTCTCTCTTCCACGTCGTCGTCGCCCATCGAGGGTCGTCGGGCATCGAGGCCGGCGCCGTCGTCGTCGCCCATTGAGCCCGCCGCCGCCGTCGGGCATCGACCGCCGCCGTCGTCGCCCATCGAGGCTGCTGCCGCCGTCGGCCATCGACCCCCGCCGCCATCGCGCATCCAGCCGCCACCGTCTCGCATCGAGCCCTCCGTCGTCGTCGCCCATCGAGGTTGCCGTTGCCGTCACGCGTCACGCATCCAGCCGCTGTCATCGCCCATCGAGGTTGCCGCCACCGTCACGCGTCACGCATCCAACCGCCACCGTCATGCATCTAGCCCTCCGCGGCCGCCACTGCTGTCGCCGTCGCGCATCGTGGCCGCCGCCGCCGCCGCGCATCGAGGCTGCCACCACCGCCGCTGCCGCTGCCGCCGCCGTCGCGCATCGAGGCCGCCGCCGTCGGCCATCGAGCCCGCCGCGCATCGAGCCCACCGAGCCGCCATCACGCCTTTCGCCGGTCTCGCCGCAAATCTGGCCGCCGCTGCCGCTGCCACCGCCGTCGGCCATCGAGCCCACCGAGCCGCCGTCACGCCTTTCGCCGGTCTCGCCGCAAATCCACAATCTTCCCGATTTTTCCCCTCGTGAAACAGTAAAGGACAGAAATACCCTTCCACCAATGGTACTGCTTGAAAGAGAAGGTGCAGTACCATGAGGTACGGATGATTTCTGACTGTTGGATAATGCTAGATCAACGGTCAGGATTTGGTACTGCACAACCTCAAGGACAGTAAAAAAACTCCTAATAGTATCATGATGCTCAAGTGCATCATATTGGTGATACCATGATACTTAGGTATTAGGCCTAACGTCTAGCGATATCACACTAATACCTACTTAGTACCATGGCCTGGTCTGGTACCCCAAATACTCGGTACTTGGACCCTGATACCAAGGCTTGGTACCTTGGTACGAGACACTCGGTAGGTACTGGATCTGGTATCTCTATGTATCAAGTTCGATACCCTAGGTACTTGGTACCAAATCGTGGAGAGGGGGCATGTGCCGTTGCTTCTCCCTTCCTCTCCTCGATGCCTCCCTCTTTCTTTGCTATTGCTATGGCTGAGTGAGGGAGCTAAGAGGGAGCGCCTCTACTTCATTGTGTTTTGTACGTGGGAGCTCGAGTCGGAGAGGAAAGGAAACAGTTCATCACTTCTTTCTATATAGTTGGTACCCACTACAAGTATTAACACTATAAAGAAGCATCCAGGTTAAGCCACATCATCGATAACCAATAGCCATCCGATCGAATACATCTTTGTTTGTTTAGCTGGCATGCACAGCCATGCAGGCCTTAAGTAAGCAAACTGCCATGGGTAATTAAGCACATCAATAGATGACACACTTAAGTGCTCCTGGTCATGCATATGTCCCTTGATCATATTAAGCCATTACTATGTCCCTTGACTATCTACTACTCAAATGCCAACTTTACACTTTATTATTTTAGAATGTTTACTTTTGATATTTCAATTATGTTTGTAAGCACATATTTACAAAGTTGTTTATCATCATTATAAAATCTCGTAGCAACGCGCGGGGTATAAAACTAGTTAAATATATTCGGACGGTATCCCGTGTTGTAGGTTGTAGCTGTACTCTGTTATAAAAATCAAACTGAGATTAGAAAAAAATCATAATGATTTGTGTTAACAGTATCCTTGCTGCTCCCTTGACCTCGAAAAAAAAAATTCTCACAGTGGAAAAATCGATCATCGTGAACCCACCATCTAATAATCGTTGCAGCAAAGAATAACCTAATTAAAATTCCAATAGGACAACGCTTTATATCAATGTCTAGACAAACTATCTAGGTCTCACTACTAGTTCTCCCTCCATTCCAAATTCCAAATTGATCTATATATATTTCATAGGTACACTAAGATAAAAAAAAGCTAATAACTATTTTATACTATATTTACTCTAGCAACAAACTCAATACATGCGCCATCCCCACTATTTCCTAGCCAATAACAAATCAAGATATTGCATGTGGGTTATAAATACTTGTGATGCATGCATCAATGTCCATTTACTTCAACGCACAAATAACGAATAGACCTAATGAATAAACACAAATATATAGATCATTTAAAAATAACATATATATATATATATATATATATATATATATATATATATATATATATAAATTTGGAATGAAGGGAGTATTTATTATCGGTAATTTTCTATCCAATTCATCTCAAAATAAATAAATCTAAATAAATGTAGTAATGCTCACACTGTATTCACGTGCACTGATGCACAGTGCGGTTCCACGTAATGGACACGCACTCGCTGATCATGCGCCAAAAAAAAGCAAAGGTGGCTTATACACGATGACTCGCTGTCGAATATATGTTTCCGCCTTTGCACTGTACGTTCAATCGATATAGATGCTTCTGTGGCACACAAGTTTCATATAACCAAGGTTGCGCAGTTGCGCTAGCTTTTCTCTCCGCTGGAAATTAAGACGCATTTGCAGAATTGAATACTGGGAATTTCTTTCTTTCTTTCTTTTTTTTTAAAGAAAATCTCTTTTCACAAATCACAAGATGAGCAGAGAAAGGTTGAAAGGAGAGTAGCTCTCATTGAGCACAATAATACAGACCATGCAGCATGGAAGTTTATATTGCATATACACAGCTTCTCTTCTTAGGGTCATTTTAGTTCACGAAAAGAAAATTTTTAGATGTCACATCAGATGTTTGGCCGGATGGCGGAAGGAGTTTTCGGACACGAATGAAAAAAAACACTAATTTTATAACTCGTCTGGAAACCATGAGACGAATATTTTGAGCTTAATTAATCCATCATAGCACATGTGTGGGTTACTGTAGCACTTATGGCTAATTATAGACTAATTAGGCTCAAAAGATTCGTCTCACGATTTCCTCCCTAATTGTGCAATTAGTTTTTTTAAATCTATATTTAATGCTCTGTACATGTGTCCAAAGATTCGATGTGATGATTTTGGGAAAAAAATTTAGAGAACTAAACCAGGCCTTACTTGTATTTATACATCTCTAATACATTTATATACACATATCGAACTTGGCAGACGGATCCATTTCCCTTGTCTTCATTCAAGCCAAGAAATGAACAGCTGCTCTGTATAGTAGCAGAGAGTAGAGACAGACATGATGGAGAATCAAAATAGCATATGCATCTATTTGCACAGTACCAGAGCATTAGAGAAGAACACAAACTAAGGAAGTATATGTAGTGCAACTGCAAGAACACACATCTAGTTATTATTGTAGCTTGCTTCTCTCCTGATGAAGCTGTTGCGATGATCTGCAGCCTGGGCCGAGTTGGAGTCGTCATCAGCAGCAGCGTTGTTGGCCATGAGGTTGCTGATGCTCCTCACGATCCTGCGCTTGACCTGCCCCCTCTTCAGCGGTGGCCTCTTCTCCTTCGCCATGTTGGCGCCGCCGCCGCTCAAGTAGTTGCCGTAGTAGCTGTACTCCATCACCCTGCAAGGCTGCGACTTAACACACACTGATCTCTCTCTAGCTTCTTCTTCTTGCCTCTGTCACTGTGTGTGAGTGATTTGTTCTGTTGGGGATGGGGAGATGTGAGGTATTTATAGGCAAATGAATAGCAGCCTCATCTCTGCCTGCAGGGTCTCGTGCCACCTCGTGTGAACGCACGCGAACGTAAGTGACAAATTAAAGGGAACTTATGCGGTTAACCTCATGTTAAGGGCGATGTGGACGTCAGACGTGAGAATCAGTGACTGGTATCGTTGAAGCAGGGCATGGTTTAGACGCACGAGGGTCAGAATGCCAGATTAATTGGCTAGTCAGCACAAGGAACCCATGAAAGCCACTCTTACCAATTTTAAGGCAGTTTCTAAAACAAAAATTTTCACACTTTCACATTGAATATTTAAATACATGTATGAAGTATTAAATGTGAATAAAAAAAACCAATTACACAGATTGTGTGTAAATTGCGAGATGAATCTTTTAAGCCTAATTGCGCCATGATTTGACAATGTGGTGTTACAGTAAACATCTGCTAATGACGGATTAATTAGGCTTAATAAATTCATATCGCATTTTCCTGGCGGAATCTGTAATTTATTTTGTTATTAGACTACGTTTAATACTTCAAATGTGTGTTCGTATATCCGGTGTGACAATCAAACCCAAAAATTTTCCCAACTAAACAAGGCCTAAGTGGAAGAGTCTCACTTCGCTAACTAAACAAGGCCTAAGTGGAAGAGTCTCACTTCGCTGTTCTCTACTGATAGTAGAAAACAATGTCAACCATTAATCTTATTTGATCGAAGGGTCATATTCATTTCTATTACCACCACACTTAATAGTAGTAGAAACGTCATGGGCTATTATTGTCCAAGAAAAAATATTAACGGTCTGATGAATGGATACAAAACTTTTTTTTTCACGATGGATAGATAAAATCTGAAATACCAGCATTACTTCTAATCACTAAGTTAGTAAAGCACTGATATGACCTTATAAATTATAGCAATTTTAGGTCCTTAAGGAAGAAGGTACCATGAGGTACCACTTTTTCCACTGTAAATTTGGTACCTCTTGTTACTTAGGTACTATGAGGTACCAGATTTTACACTATTTTTTTAATTACCTCATGGTACCTCCTCAAGAACCGTAGAATTGCTCTATAAATTAACAACTCAGATCAATTCTGCTAATAGTATGATATTACTAGTAGAGAGTGTCGTAGCGTTGCTCTTAGTGGAAGGTTTCGTTCATGAGCTTAACTACGGTGCTCTCTACTAATAGTAAAAAGTGATATGAACGGTTGATCTCATTTGATCGAAAAGTTTAGATCTGTATGTACTACCACCCCCAGTTAACGATAGTAGAAATGTGGAGGAACATTATTGTAAAAATTTTGTGTGAAGGGATATAATCGTCATTTAGCAGAGACTAAACCTTTTTTTCTCTTACTCTTTTTTGGCTTTTTCAATGAAATATGAGTGATGCCAGTGGAATGGATGACAACTATAGGATTAAATTACTATTTTACCCTTAATAATGAACGGTTCATATTATTATATATTACCAGTAGAGAGCATCGGAGCATCGCACTTCATTTTATGTTTTCAAGAGTGTTACATAAGGCAACAAGAAATTTAATTGTTTGTTAAAATAGCCCACACGATGTATTGTTTCATTTTTTTTGTTGTTGTTTCAGAGACAACACATGCAGAGACAGATCACATTAGAAATAGTATATACAAAATGAAACTCATTTCATCTCCTTCTTTATTAATTACTTGTCACATCACCAAAAATATTGGCATGCAACCCCATTTAATGAGAATGGAACTTCTATTGAGAGTGGCCCCTATCGTTTATCGACTATAAGTCAAAATTTAGTTTGAAAGTTGATTTTAGGGATTTTAATCTTAATCTATTATTTAACACCTACTTTTAAACTACATAAATGGAAGTGTTTTTCCATAAATTATTATTTCAAGGACCTATAAATCTTTTATTGGTATGGCTTATCAGCTCAGCTATATAGCTCAACTAATCAGAGATGCTAACTAGTGTTCCAAAGGAAACCTAAATTTTGCCCTTGATGGTTTGTCATTTTCGTTCTGATTATGATCTATGGGCATCATGCACCTTTCAAAGTTTCACGCAAATCAATGGACTTTCCAGCTTGAGTAGATTTTCAGTTTGGGTCTTGCTCGATTAATCCTTAAAAAAAATTAGATGGAACTAAGAAGGATTAATTTTACCTCTTAATTTCTTTTATTTTTTTCTTCAATTCTCTTATAAAATGGATTAACCTAACAAGAAAAAGGAGAACTAGTTACCCTCGTTTTCTTACTGAACTGTCAGATGAATGTGCAGTTGTGCTTGTGCACAGTCACCTGATCAGCTATGGCTGTAGATAACTTCAAGCATTTCGTGTAGCTTTGCACTGGACCTCAGAGAAAAAGAAGACGTGCTAGCTATCTTTGCACTCCTATCACAACTTTACACTACCACTCCATGTTTTTTTTTTACACTTTAAATTTGTATCAACTCGATGCATTGACAAAAAAGAAACCTTACCGCTCAAGTTGTACACTGTGTACACATAAGCCGAATATTTACGATATCCAAATGGATCAGGATCTGATGCCAAAGTGGCGAAAAAGGGTAAGATATATATACCTGCGCTTTCACATTTTTCTGACGCATCTGAAAGATATTTAAAAAGATCTGTACACAGTACGCGGAGAAAGTGCAGGTATATATCTGACACTTTCGCATTTTCGGCACAGCACAGCATGATGCTATAATCACGTATCCGAGGTAGTATGTTTACATAGATATTTCCAATTCGACAGAAATTTGGATGCAAATTAATCAAGACTCTGCAAATTAGTTGAGCGGAGAAAATATAGAAAAATAAATGAAACAACCAAAATGATCATTTTAGTGTATAACTTTTATATTGCTACTCTTAATTAGCTGCTAAAAAGCCAAGGTTAAAAAATAAAAACAATGAAAAGAACTAGATTAATTTAAAATTAATTTTAAAATTCAAATATTGAATGTACGTAGCTGATTAACGAAAACTGAAGAAGACGAGATTTTTTTGTAACTAATTTATTTCAAGAGTTCGTAACTACCTACAAACTTTGTCAAGTAGGGTAAAACCATTTTAGTCAGTTAGCTAGACCTTATTGGAAAAAGTACACCTAAGGTCCCTCAACTTGTCGGCGAGTTACAAAATCGTCCCTAAACCGATATATAACATATCTCAACTTACAAAACCGTTTGCTTTAGGTCCTTCGGTGATTTTGATCCCGGTTTTGTCTGATATGGCGGCTGAGTCAGAGTGGGCCTCACATGTCAGTATGCCACGTCATCACCTCCTCTCTCTCTCTCTCTCACTTTTCTCCTCTGTTGGCTGGCCGACGTGTCGGAGGAGGTCGTTGGGCGAAGACGGGCGACGGCTGGGGAAGACCGGAGGCGCACGGCCGGCCGACGGACGCTCGTCGCCGTCATCGCCGTGGCCGCTGGACGCCGGCGCCGACGTGGAAGCGGTCCCCGAGCTCACTGGCTTGGACCCCAGCGGTGGTGAGGTGAGCGAGGATGCGCGGGGTGGTGGGGGCGGCCTCGGATGCAGAGGCGACGGAGGCGGCGGGCGGCGGTCGACGTCGACCATCTGGAGGCGGAGGCGCGCCGGTGCCTCTCTTGGATCTCGGCCACCACGCTGGAGCAGATGAGGCTGGGAGCGGAGGAGGCCCGCGGGCACCGGGCGGTGTGTCGTCGGCGCGTCGCCGCCCTCACCAACGACGTGGAGAGCGCGATTCCAGAGAGAGAGAGAGAGAGAGATGTGGGCGGTGGCCAACGACGCGGCGCTCCAAGTAGATCGTGAGGTCGAAGCAGCCGGGGCTGCCCTGGATCGAGGCGCTACAGATCCATCGTCGGCGGAACGAACGAGCAACAGTAGAGGGAGCAGTCAATCAGTCATCACTTCCCTCCCTTGAGTATTAGGAGTGGTTCTCAGTTTCTCGCTCGATTCACTTGCACACTCTTTCACTCCACTGCTCCAGTCCAGTGTGTTCACATGCTCTGCCCCAACGCAATTCAAGCAAGCAGATGAGATCGATGATGCGTCTCATGATTTGCTGCCTCCTGGTCTCTGCGGGGGTCGGGGGAATCACAGGCGAGGGCAACTCGGAAGTGGTGCTCCTCCTGCAGCGCGTGAAGCCGGTGCTGCGGAGGGAAGGCGGGAACGCGCAGCTGGCCACCTGGACCGCCTCCACCCCGCTCTGCCTGTGGCGTGGCCTCCGCCAAATCCCAGGAGGCCGTTGTACATCCCCTATCGTCGTCCCTGCTGCTGCATCCCAGTCGCCTCGGCTTGAGGATGTCCTTCCCCTTCATCATGTTACAGAGCCGGTGGCCGGCAGAGTAGAAGAGCGGCGGTGGCGAAGACGGGCTGAGGCCGGGGGAGACCGGAGGCCGGCGCCGCCGCCCTCCCCTTCTCCCACGTCGCCGGTGACCTCCTCCGGACCCTGCGAGAACAGAAAAGTGAGTGAGAGAGAGAGAGAGGGAGGGGAGGAAGGGAAAGGAGGGGAGGGGAAAGAGATGATTATGTGGCACCCTGATATGTGGGGCCCACGTGGGTCCTATGTTGACTCAACTGCCACGTTGGATAAAGCGGGGTCAAAAACCATTGAAGGACCTAAAACGAACGGTTTTATAAGTTGAGGGACGTTGTATATCTGATTTTGTGGTTGGGGGATATTTTGGTAACCCGATGATAAGTTGAGGGACCTTGGGTGTACTTTTTTCGACCTTATTTAGATATATGGTCCACATTGGCATGGAGTGGTAGACTAGTGTTTTGGTCTATCTGAATAAGGTATATGCTGGTGCAAATTATTGTTATTCTTTGATGTAGTATTGGGAGAATACTGGTACACGGGCGTCTGATTAGACAAGAAAGAATCAGGACACTGCTACTCCTATATCTGCGAATAAAATTTAAAAATATATCTTTTTTTCGTATTTTCCGTTTATATATACAGGCGAAAAAGAATTGTATGAATATACCTCTTCCGCGGA